TAATCCGAAATAACGAGTTACTAATTCGAAATAACGGATTACTAATCCGAAATTTCGGATTACATTTTGATGATTTTATATACTTAAGTGGCACGAATAGGCTTTCGTAGTTTTCTGATATAATCTCTCAGTACATTATTTACATCTGTTGTGTAACTGTATTTGTTATTGATTCAATTCTTGCTTATTACAGTATTTAAATATTTGAAGATTAAAAAAAAAATATCATTTCTATACTTAATTTTTTCATTGGAGCCATTTTTACCTACTTGTCATTCGGGGCAATTTTTACTGGGGCCATTTTTTTCGGGGCCATTCTTACCTACATTCACTCAATTGTCAAGTCAATGGTTAATGTAAACATCATCTCATAAATCTCCAACACAGCTAAAAGGTGGAGTCTCATTTTAATGAATGTGCCAATTTGTAGCTCTTGGTCACCATAGCTTAAGTGACATGAGCAATCAACGCAGGTACTCATGAATATTTACACCACCCTTGGGCAATATGGTTACTGTCAAAATATTTAAACACAATAAATAGGCCCTATTCAAAGTGTATAAACCAAACATGTTATATTTCTTTTAATACTGTAGTGTTTAATTCGTGCAAAATTAGTAGCCTAACTAATTCAATAATTAATTCTAGTGGTACTATTTCCTCAAATTTTTGCACCTCAGCCCCAACTATGTTTTGTCTGTTGTGGGTGTAGACTCACAAAATGTCTCTCTACTCCCACCTTTCAAAACAGATCTGCGACCTTCTCTGTGTATGACATTAAACTCTATCAATGAAACTTTCTGAAACAATAATGAAAGTAGTAAATGTAAGTGGATCTAGATGAAACGTTTCAGAATAGTTGATCAGGGTCTAATAAAGAAATGTTAATCGTGTACGTTAATTTTCATGTATTATTTTTAAAAAATCATAATAGTATTTATTATTTTTGTTTTTCATATGTTTTACTTTATATTTGTTTTTCATTCTGGCAATAAGGACATAGTACAATTATAATTGCAGTTGTGGTAATTCTACTCTTCATTCCAGTTCTTGAGGTTTCTTTTCATCTGTTGTAGTTTATTGCAGAAAAAAAACAAATATTTACATGTACATTAATTGTATTATTAAGAATACTACATTAAGTTGAATAAATTAATTCTGAGCACCCTTTGCGGTTTCGCATTACTGTAACCTTGCAGCATGCAGGATATGTCCTTGGTAAATTAGGAGTTTGTGATTGGTAGCCTACAAATATGGTAGTGAATGGGTGTATACAAAACAGTCACTGACAACCAAAGTGTTTCAAGATTCAGTAATGTATTTATCATGATGCTAATTACCTACTAACAAGACCGTTCATGGTCAAAACAATTAAATAGCACGGGGGGGGGGGAAACCGGGGTAATAGAAGCTAACGCTAAACAGGGTTCGTGTTTCTAATTTTTGAGAAATGGAACCAGTCCATTACTTAGCCTGTTATTTTACGAATTTTATCTATGCAAACTACCTTTATCATATTTGAATTACACACAATAAGGCAAAATAAAATAAATTGTTTGTTTGCCCTTCTTTAAAAAAAAAATGATAAGTAGGGGCGGTAGAAAAAGTTTTTTTTTTAAATTTATTATTTTGTTTAAATACTCATCAGATGGAATAAAAATAACCCACAGAGGCCTAGAATGGCAATATCTTACATCAGACAACAACGAATTGTAGGGCATCTGGCAAAAAATAAAAATAAATTCACTCACATTTTTTTTTAATTTGTGAAAAAAAAAGCTAAAGAAAATTTTTTTAAAGTTTTTTTGTTTGTTTTTCCGCCCAGTGAGCTAGGGGCAGGTGGAGGAGGGCAAACAAACAATTTTTTTTGCCTAATTTAAATACATATCTAAGCAAAGCATAGGCCTATTCCAGATATTAATTATTAAAAAAATGAACATAAATTACATACGGTATTTCACAGGGTCCATAACCAGTAAAGATTCAAGTCATATTAAGTGCAATACCCAAAGCAATATCTGTAAACGCATAATTGCTGCCTTACTGTAGGCCTCCCTAATGAAACTGCTACAAATGGTATTGGCTAATACGACTAGACATACAGTATGTTAATTTGTCTTAAAACATATTCAATACTGATAATAATATTTTATGAGTTTTTTATGTGTGTTTTATTTACACATGCTCAAACTTAACCATATGTAATTTTAATTTTAGCAGGTTAGATCCTAAATTTAAACATCTAAACTAATTTAAGCAACGTACATGTCTTTTTAAGGTATAATCATTTAAAGGAAACTATCTATCTAAACACTTTTTTTCCAGCATATTTCTAATATAACATTGTATAAATAATGGAATAATAGTAGAAACAGTGCTCGAATAAAAAAACAATGTGAACTTTGTATCGGGCATCGCCTATCAACGAAAAAGCCCCTTATCAATTGTTTGAACCTGCAATCACTTGCTACGATTAACATCGACATTGGTTCTACAATCATACCATAATTGTATTTCTGGAATATGTTTTATCTAATAAGAGCATGCAATTGCATTGAGCTATATTGTTGCTTAAACTTTAAATTACATTTTAACCTTAAAGCCATTTGATGAATAATATCCTAGCTATAACATTTATCACAATTAGTAATTAATTAATTCATTAATATTACACTATATTACTGAAAATCATGATTTTTATTTATAGATTGTATGTATTTATCATATCCTCCTTCACTGAATCCCAAGTAATTTTCTTCCATCCATCTGGAATATCTGCTTGTTCACATTCATAGTATTTAGCAAGTTCCTCGTTGTAGGTTGCCATAAACCATTTCCAATATAGCTGCGACTCACCTGCTACTGGCTGGATTTTCCAGGCTTTGTAATACTTATCGACGGTTTGGTATTTTTTATGAGGATGCCATTTTTGTTTAGTGTCTTTATTTTTAAATGAATTATCTGACATCACTGATGTTGTGCATATGTCGATACTAAGTTTTCTACTCCGATGCCACTTATATCCAGCAACTCCACTTGGTCGATGGTACTCTGTACGGTGATCATCATACTTATCACCAACTTGAAGATCGCACGGCGCCTTACAGAACGGACATAACTCAGGACAACCGAGGAGATCTTCTTCAAAAAATTGTTGGCAAGGCTCAACTATGGCATTTAAAATACCCTGCGGATTGAATGCATCCATGATTTTGTCTTTAGATCTATTCAATTCACTTAGTAACTTCTCTTTAAGATCATCTACTTCAAAACTGCCATCCTCGTTAAAGAATCCCAACTCCGTTTTAACAGCTAGATCATGACCAATATGTTCAAGAAATTTAGGCCACCAACTGCTAATTTTGCATTTACGGTCGTAATGTTGACATGTGTCAGTAATTGCTTCCACAACTTTGACAAAAAGGCAGCCTAATTGTTGGTTATATATTCCTTGTAAAACAGAGTTTCCTTCATTCATTACATTCAGTAAACATGATTTTGTTATATATTCTCCAATATAGGTGCTCATGCACCGGTAAGGTTTTCGCAAATATTCTCGATAAAACGTAAAATGATGTTTCCTGGCTATATCAATCAGCATTTGTGCATGTAGCGACATCTTATTCGTAAACGCCCGAGAAGGAGAAGTGCGCAAATAATCAATCACTCCGGTTTTACAATGATTTGGAAGACAATATCTGATAGCACTTTCCAACTCTCGACTGACCACAGAAGCTGCTTTGACGTATATTTCTACCACAGTGCATTCATCACGAAACATTTGCCATAATCTTTCCTTTTGAGATTCCATGTATGATCGAGGGTCATTTTCGTGTCTGTACTGTATTTGCAACTCATTTAATTTTGGTATCATTGACCAGAGAATACACATTGTTATGCGAACTATTCCCTTTTCTTTGAATTTAATTTCACCCTCTATTTTCATGTCCGATAGTTGTGTTGCCAAGAAATCAAAAAGCTCACTTCCAAAACTAGCACTATAGTTTTTACACTCATTGCTGTAATTTGAAATCTTTCGTAATACCTCTGATCGCAATGTTTCTGTAAATGACTTTGCCTCGTCAAAACATGTTGATTTACTAACAGCACGCCCAGAAAGCAACCTAACACCCTTTGACAAAACACTACCAAAATCTAAATCATCTTCTCCTACAAATACTCCAGATTGATATAACCTACTGGATTTACTTGAGAGCATACGATTTACTTCCTCTTGGTAACGTGAATAGGATTTACGTGTTATTTCTTCAAGGGACGATTGTATTTGAATGTAACCACTGGAAGGGGCTATGTCTGAGATCCATTTTCCCCACTCTTCATCAAATGTTTTCTTTAGATCCGACCCGGATATAGATTCATTTTCACGAAATATTTCAGCAAGACCTTTAGCCTTTTTTAAGATATCTTTTTCATACCTTATCATACTCGAGTTTATTTCAGATTTTCCAACGATTTTCTTTCTGATAGACACAAATTCATCATTGATTTCTCTCCTAATATCAGCACATAGATCATCCCTCTTCAACTCCGTTCTGGCCTTCCATTGGCATGCCTTTGTTTCTCTGGCAAAATAATCTTCTATGTTGTTGTGGAAGGAATTTATATCTTTTTCGAATTTAGCAATCTGCTTTCCCAGTATAGATTTACCAACTTGATGTATCTCATTAGCTGTAAGTTTATTGCATTCAATTTGAAGTTCGTCTCCGTAAGTCATTGCGTTTCTTCTCAGTGTACGAGAATGCCTCACGTATTCTGTTTCTAGTGCATTAAAGGCCCGAATCTCGATTGTATTTTTAAAACTGAACACAAAGTTCTCACACAGAATTGCTTTCCAGAGATCCGAGAGCCTATATTTGAAGTCTTCAACTGTTTTAGCTTGGCAATTTCGCATGAATTCTATGATCTGTTTTTTGACTTGAAGAATACATTGACTGTAACCTGGATTAGGGGGTGCCATTGGTGGATCGCCTTGCCAGAGACTAGAAATATACATTATATGTTTATGTTCTTGGAATCGAATGACATCTGAAAATGTTTTATATTTTCCAGTGCAGCTTTCTTCTGTTGCAGCATTTAGAGTGATCTGATCCAACATACTCTTTATCTTTCTCTTATGAGCCGTATTTTTGTCGGATGCGGCAACATCGGTTACATTTTGATGGACAAATATACAGCTGGGTTTGATGTTTACATTTTCCATTTTTATGAATGCATGGACAGCAATCTGAAGAATGTCTTGCATTTCAGCTGCATTTTCTCCCATGATATTAAGCATTGTAACATCACCTAAACCAGTCACAAAAGTAGCCAGTTCGTTGTCACGGTTGTTATGTTCAGTGGTTGCTAATTCCGGAGCCCGTAAACCTTCTGTGTCAACCACTAGTATGTAGTCACACTTAGTATCTTCTTTCAAAGCATCATCCACTGGTATTAATTGAGCAAATACACCTTTAGTACACCTTCCAGCACTTACTGCAAATTGCAAACCAAACATGGTGTTAAGCATTGTTGACTTTCCGCTACTTTGGATACCTAGCACTGACAACACAAACATTCGTTTATCACCAATAATATTTGTTAGAGAGGTTAATACTGCTTTGATCCATGTGATGGGAACATGTGACGCATCGCCATCCATCAATTCCAGGGGATGTCCATCAAGTAACATGTTTGCTACAACAACTGGAAATTGAATAGTTGTATCATTTAGTAGGTTCATATGCCATTCCATTTCGTACACTTGTCCAATTTCTCTATTAAAGTGTTCTAAGCCCAATGAAAGATTAGAAAGCTTACTTTCTAGGTCATCAAGTTCTTTTCTTCTTTTTTCTGATTCTGGTGTTTCTCTGTTTTGATTTTTTTGCAAAATCTCGCACAAATCATTAAATTTTTGGATGTATTCCTGAAGTATTGGCTGCAGTGTTTCAATGCTATAAATATCAGTTATCATCTTAACAAAGCTGTGGAAATATTTCCTCTTTAGTGCTGGATAATTAGGCGTATACGATCTTCTGAATAACTTAAACATATCTGAAGTATGGTTGCCGAGACATTTTTGTTTACTTCGCAATTCTGTTATATTTAACTCTACCTTTTCAACGTATTTCTCTGTTTCCATGGTTCCTTTTTTCTTCAATCGATATCGTTCTTTCGTTTCCTGTCCAATTTCTATTGTAATCACATGCAATGGTAGATGTTTTTCTTTCCCATGCAGTTTTAGACATTCCGACATCATGTCCACATTCTCTTTCGCCTGTATACAGTTCAGTGTGCTTTCGTCTACATGGAAACGCATTGTTTTTGCAAGGTCAGCATACATTTGAATACTTCTATCTGTTACAAAATATCGTCCATTTCCCTTGTAAATACAAATAAGACTTTTCCTAATTTCCCCACTTACTTGCAACTTATTTTGTTTTGAAGAATCAATTAACCTTAAATGCTTATCCTTTACAGTTGAATATTTTTTTTCCAGTAGGCTAATTGATTCTTTCAAATATTGCCCAGGGGGTCCATCTGCAACAAGTATTAAGTGCCCATTTTGTTTGTACAATGATTCAAGTAAGACAGTGTCTTCTTCCTTAAATTCATCAGAGGACGTGAAGGCAATAGTTGCTAATGATATATCAGATAAAAATGCCGATTGTTCTTTGAGATGGGATGCATTTCCCCTCAAATTCATAAACGTGATGGCATCAGGAAAAGTATCTTGATGTTTCCCAGTTGGTAAGTACCACGCCATTTCAAGTAGACCAACAGAGATTTTTTTTTCCAAAGTACCACCTTTACATCCAGAGTGAAAGAAAATGTCATGTTTAAAATCACTGATAACACAGTTTAGTATTTTAGATTTTGACAACCGAGGTCTGCCCAAACGGATGGCACACACAGTTGGCAACGGATAAAATAGCATTGATCGTTCACATGATAACCCTGAGCACGTTTTCCATTGTTTTCTCAATGTGCTCATCGCCCACAAAAGCATTTCATTTGTATGCGGAATGGTGTCGATATATGGTAACAACAATGGAATAGCGAGTTGACACATGGACATTTTTTCTACTAAAAGTTGTCTCAAGAAATCATCGCAACACAAAAAAAGTGCTACCAGCGCATCCAAAGGACTTAACTCTATTGTGTCAACAGTGTTGTTTGTAGTTACTTGCAGAAGAGACGAAAATTCGAATCCAGAAAGTGATGGGTTCTGATTCAATTTAAAACACCGTCCTTCATAGTTACACATTATAAGATTTTGCAAAATATACCATGGAATCTTGCCAGGATCATTGAGATCATCGGATGAAATGGTATTTTCCGTAACCACAAGTGCCTTTTCCCGGGTTAGTTTTTTGGGATAATACTCTTGTAGTTTCAGATGTTCTATCACATCATGATATACACCTCCTTGTATGTATTGATGCAATGTTCGTTGTGCTCCTTTGAAGTCACGACATTGCAAAACAAGTTGTGTAATGTTTTTAATCTCCTCAGGTATCACATCTTCAAGGTTTTCGAATGTATCTGTATATACACTTTCACAATCTGAATCAGAAGCCATTTTACTTGCCATCAATCCAAAACTTTTCCACCTAGTAAAAGAAAATGTAAAATGCTTTCATAATAATAGTACTGTAATTGGCAAATTTAAAACAAATAAAATTAATATAGTCAATAGCTGTCGAATGGTATTTTGTTTTAACAGAGTAAACATGTTCTTAGGAGGCAATTAACTTTGGAGATGGTCGAGTTTATGGGATGAATACTGTACTTGAGTTTTGTCATGGATAATAAGTTTTAGTATAGGTAGTTGAGAAGAACAAGGACTAAACTCGATGAGCAGACGTATTCACAGTGATAATGGTATTTATAATAATAATGCAATGTTTCATTAGAGCAAACAGAAACCTGTATTTGTAAACAATTTAGGACCAAATTAAAGTATGTATGGCCAACAGCTGCGAAAATATGGATAATGTAAGTATAGTAAATGGCTTTCCGGTCATTTAAAAAGTGTGCCTTAGAACAAACAGAAACCTGTATGATATGAGCAATTTAAGACCAAAATCATGTCTGTATGACCAACAGTTACGGAGATATCCAGAAACGGGTGTCTAGAAAACTAAGACATAAGATATCTTAGTTTTCTAGATCTAGAAAACTAAAGATAAATCTTACTTTTCTAGATCTAGAAAACTAAGATTTTTAATGATGGGTTGTACCATTATATCAAGTGAGAATTATATAGGTCAAGTCACGTGACCTTGACCTTTGACCCGAAATATCACAAAAGTATATATCTCGATTTTTGGAAAATTCACCTCAGTTAGAACACTTAGCCCACATGATGCCCCTAAAGTTTCATTGTGGGCAAATGAAATATATTAGCTCTAGACTACATTTTGTGCCTAGGTATTGATAGTTTCACTGAGTTTCCAGGAAATCTGCTGAGATTCTATAAAATTTGGCACCCATAGTATAGTGAAAATCAGGGGCCCCGTGACCATTTTTCTGGGATTAAGGTTTCACTGCTGATTTAGTATCACTAGGGTATAAATAAGAAATTGAGCGAGGGAGAACCTCCAGAAAAATGGCGGAACATATTTTTTGGCGGCCATTTTGAAAATGGTTTCGAAAACGTAAAATGGCAGCCATATTGAAACTCAAGATGGCCGCCTTTAAAATGGTTAAAAATAATTTTTCAGGTTAATTCCACATTTCCTCTATGGAAAATGGTAAATTTGGATCTAATCATATGATTTTGGGCTCTCTGAATACAATAAATATAGTTTCAAGAGAGATATCAGCAGTTGTCTGTCAGAGATGAGTTTTTTAGCCAAATCTCATGAAAATTTCAAATTGCTCTAACTCATCAGAAAATGCTGCGCAGAGCCAAAAATTTCACTGTGGGGTTATCTCAGGTAGAACCCCCAACATGCAAAATATTGGGCGATTTGAAGGGGGTCGGGCAAAAAAGTGTGTTGGATTCAAATGGAGTGACTCTTTAGACAATGTAAATTCTCATTGTGAATTTGGCATAATTGTCGACTCTAAGCTTAATTTTAACGAACATATTAAACATATTTATTTTAAAGCTAATAGGATGTTAGGACTCGTCAAGCGAAATTGCTGGCATATTAATAATGTAAATACCCATATCTCTGTTTAATTCCTTAGTTAGACCGCAAGTTGAAACTTGTAGTTATTTTTAAAAGCATCAGTTCAACACAGGCCTCTAAAATTTACATTATTTAACACCGCTTCGTTAAATTTGTTTCAAGGGTATGTAATGTTCCAAAAAGTTCTATTAATCTTCCTTCACTAAGTCGACGTAATTTCCTGGATTTAACATTTATTTAAATGTATTAATGGCATCTATGGTAATTACTTAACATCTTTATTTGGTATATCTGTTAAACCCCCTAGGTGCCGTCATACCTTTACTGAATTTTTCACAATTTCTTTTGCCAGAGTCAATGTTACGAAAAATGGTTTAATCAATAGATTACCTAGATTATATAACAATCTTAGCAAAGAACATAATTCCATAGATGTATTTTATAATAGTGTAGAAGTATATAAAAAGAAGATCAAATGTATTTTACATATACTAGAGTAAGTTTTGTTATCTTTATTGTGACTATTTAAATTATTTGTATTTGTTTATTTGTATCTGTTTTTTGTTTCCATTGAAGTGGCGGGACACCCGCTGTTGAATGCGAATTGAAATAAAATAAAATAGTGGCTTCTTTAAAAGTTAGAATTGCAAAGCCATACTTTGTGATAAAACAAAAGCTGTATACAGTATTATTTTACAGTTACAGTTTAGGCCCCATAAAAAAATTATTAGTTTATCACCTACTCCCTCATCACTTTGGGGAAATTCTGATTTTCTTTTTCAATCACCATATATTTTTATTTCAAACGGTCGTTTTTCCATATTTTTTCACTTGATAAGCTCAGGATTTCTTGAAAATATGTTTATTGGTACAACAAAAACATATTTATACAACTGTGTTGGTTGAGGCACTATCAACTAGCCTGGGTCATGCTTGTTTACGGTAATTAGGACACCTGTAACGTAAAATTGGTCCGGGCTAAAATCGGTCCGGGGGAACGATTTTGGCTACTAAAATTTTCCGGGGAACCGATTTGGCCGGCCAAAATCAGTCCTCCTTGGATAATATTGGTCCGGCCGGCCAGGACAAATTTTGGCTTTAGCCTAAATCATTCCGCCTACACCTGCTACACTGTGTTACACTATACGAGTTTAGTGTACTCAACCAATTACAGCACAGTGAGTGCTTACTTATCGGCCCGCATCAATTTTTTTGAGGGAAAAGCTTTTTGGTGGGGAAATTTAAAATGAGTGACCAATCAGTATAATTCTTGGCGTTCAATCTGAAGTCTATTTTGCATACATTACCTTAGTATTACCTCAGATCCTATATACAACAATATGCAACTATATACAGTTTGTATATAGGATCTGTGGTAACAGAGATGTATTTCACAGAATCACAGCTGACTTTATTTAATAGGAAAGAAGCTCTTTGGCTTAAGATCGGGGAACAAAAAAGGCCGACGTGCTAACTTCAATTTTACTGTCCGCAGATATGTTCTGCTTTTTAAAATTTTTATATATTTATATATATAACGGTTGAACGTGTTGCAAATATCACCAGCAAAACCAGATCGAATATATATATATAGGCCTATATATGCAGTTAGAGTTCAAATTCTTAATAAGTTTAGAGTACATCCCCTCAATTAAGCTAAATGTAGGAACCCCACCCAAGGCCCAGACTCGATTTTATTTAGATTTTCAAATGAATCAACCATTTATTGGGGGAATTGCTAAGCATCTTCTAGTGCTGCGTATAATATATGTTTTTGTTGTTGGCTTCAGTGTGAAATAGAGGTTAAGTGTAAGATCATGTAATGTTTGTTTTTTCTCGTGATTCTAGCTAGAGCATAAGCAATAGTATATCACGGATGATATTAGATTAACATGACATTTGGTATGGCCTATTGTTAGGTTGGGTTAGGAACGAATTACAGTATAGTTATGTTAGAGATGCCGTATTCTCTTCTTCCTGCTTTCATCAACTGATTACAGCACAGTGAATGCTTACTAATCGGTCCGCAAAGATTTTGAGGGAAAAAGCTTTTGGTGGGAAATTAGAAATTGAACGACCATTGAAAATGAAGGTGATAGGTTAAGTCCAATCTTGAGCCTATTTTGCATACATCGCCGTATATGAATAAATAGGCTACAGCCTGTATCGAAAGAATTCATTTAATAGCAGAGGCTCGTTTTGGGTAGTACGGTATAAGAAGTAAAAGAAAGGTTGTGCTTACTTTTTAGATTCAGGGTGTATGTACACCTTACAAGGAAGCCTAATTATTTGACATTTTAATATGTCGATAACCATTAATTAAAGCTGTTGAAAATAAGGAAAGAATCATGATCCAACAGCAGGATCGTTGTATACAGTATATTATTTAACCAGGGGCGGATCCAGAAATGTCCAAAAGGGGGGGCCGGAAGGGGGGCCGAAAGTTGGGCCGATTGAGACAACACTGTCGTAGGGGGTCCGGGGGCATGCCCCCGCGAAATTTTTGTGTTCTAGACGCCCGAACATAACATTTGAGGCATTCTTGGCCATCATTTTTTTCTTTTTCTCTCTTTTTTTTCTTTTTCTTTTCTTTTTTTACCTCCCAAAAGGGGGGGCCGGGCCGGGCCGGCCCCCCCCTAAATCCGCCCCTGATTTAACACACGTTCAACCACCCCCTCCTTCTACCAAATACTGGATATAACAGGCGCGGATTCAGAAGGGGGTATGGTGGTTGGTCCTGTCCCTGAAAAAAAAAGGAAAAATAAAAGAAAAGAAATAATCGCCTAATACGCCTCAGAGGTTATTTTCAGTCGTCTATAGAGTACAGTACTGGAAAACAAAGCTGG